AGAATGTTTCGTATGCTCTGCATACTGTTTGGATTCCCTCCTCTTGTGGTATGTTCGTATAGAGGCTCGTTACGTCCATTGAAACAAGTATAACGTCCACTTCCGACATCGCGTGGGCGCGGTTCCTCTTGGGAAGGGGACATACCAAGAAACTAGGAAGTGATTAAGGCTAGGTTTACACTAGAGGAAATCGTTCCGGATTCGTGGCCATCGAATCCGAATATTTTAGTACCAGATTGATTTTGCCATTTACGCACAAGTGGACGAGCCAAATGGATATTTTCTGGAGCTGCACATTACAAGTTAAGTGATTAAAAAAAAGTTTCAAAGGTCACAACCTGTCTCCAGTCCTCACTAATTTTCTGTATGGAGTTTTGAAATTGCAAGGGATGTTTATTGCTGTATAGCTGTAGCATTTGGGCTTTACTCAATTACTCTACCTTATTTGGAGTTCATGTTTTATGGTTGGGGAATATTGCAATCGTACTGTACGAGTTGTCATCATTATCATTGTCATCCTTATCATCATTGTCACCCTTATCATGAAAAACAACATAGTGTTGGAATACAAACAGTGCCAAATGTTCAACTACATTTGTGCAGGGAGTCATACTGTACATGTAGTTACAATTTGCCCAAAAGGAAAACATCAAAGATTGGTTTTCTTTGCACCTTGCGACTACTTGCCCATGAACTGAATTGTTTTTCTGCAGAGCCTGGGGGAAGGTGGGCTACTCTACAAAGTTTTTATACAGGGAGGCTGCACCTCAAGGTACAACCCTTACCCTTTCATATACCATTTTTGACAGAAAAGGCACACCTTTCGTTTTTACTCATTATTAAAAAAAGGTACCCTTTACACATACCTTCCTAAATTTCATATTACCTGAAAACATCAAATGTTGTAAACCAGAAAAACAATTGTTTCATTTTCAGTTCGTGTTCACGTTGAACTTAAAAGGCAGATTTTCCTACCCTTTCATGTACATCAACTTGTGAAATCCCCACCCGTTATAAGGAGTGCCATCTACCCCCACCACCCCCAGGCTGCAGAGTAAGCTTTGAAGAGTTGCGCCCAGTATCTAATTTATCCTCATATCAACACATAAATTAACTGAAACCAAAGCAAGATTAAGGTAAAATTAATATTGCAAACAAATTTTCCTAAATAGTATAAGTTTCAGTTTATATTTTACTTCATGCTGAAACGTTACTCAATGCAAGTTATATGTGCTGAAACTTAACTCTGTACTGCACAACCATGCAAGATATTCACTCTTAGCTTGTATTAATTTTATATTAATTAAAACAAAAATTACTTCTAATCAAACATGGACTTTTTTCTATTGAGAGAATGTTAGAAAATATTGGTCAGACAATAAATAATAAAATATTTATTCAAAAGAGGGTTGTCAAAATCCTTAAGGGGTTACATATAAATAATGCATGCGTTCTGATTGGTCAAAACCCATGTTTTATCAGAGTATAAAACATAAAAGTATAAAAGCGTGTTTTATTGTCTTTTGCCACATTATCTCTAGTAAACATTTTTGTTAGGGATGGCAAAAAACATTTTCTTTAAAAAAAAAAAAATTGTGATGGAGTTCTCTGCAAAGCAGCAGAGAGTTTTATAGACAAGCCC